GGCCTTTTTCTAATCTGTAAGGAAGTTTAGTATCGGTATGACCTTTCATGATAAAGTCTCTATAATCTATATCTTTACAGTTAGAACAGCGCTAATATGTGGAAAAGGTCACCTCTTGTGATAGAGCCACAGAAAATAATCACCCGGCTTTACAAAGTTTTCCAGTTATTGCTCTATATTTACAATTTTTTTTTCAGCCACCGAGGTTGTTTTGTTCTCAGTTGAATCTTAAACCTAAAGAAATGTTGGATGCCAGTGTTGTTTCACATATGCAGCATCTGTAGCCTAATCAGGCAGCTAATCCGTAATATTTTTTCTTTAAATCAATGTTAATATGACATTATGGTTTGCAGCAGATTTAACCTTTTCATTTTTATCTTACAGTATAAAAAAATAACAAAGCACTTTATTTATTAGCAAAATGAAGACAGCTTTTGGTATAGTCTTAGTTGACACAAAGTATTTTCAAATGGGATTAAAAAAAACATTCCGAAAGATACTAAATACAAAAAAATAATATTGATTTTCTAACATTAATTATCACTGATAGATCATACATATTGAGTTATGCTGAGCTGGCAGGTCTTTGCTGAACTCTGATTAAGGATGTGATTAGCTGATCAATATTTATCATTGTGCACAATCTGATATCCATGAGGTGTCACATGATTAGCTAGTTCAAAGATGCCCAGTACCCATATTAAAAATGATATACTCCAAATTGTAATTTTAATCAAAATTTTAATTAAAGAAAGCTCTATTTTATATGAATTAATTGTATTTTATTGGTTGGGCATGTCTCTTGCAATCAAGAGTTAGCATTATGTCATTAGTTGTGCAGCTGTATTGAAAAGATCATTTATATCTTCCATATATATAATTTACCTGTAATTAAATAACCTACCCAAGTGCAAGGTAGCTTCGAAGTGTACATGGAGGTTTTAAGCGTATACAGGGCAATTTTTAATGGTATAATTATTTTTATTTAAATAAACTGCTGTTCACAATAAAGCCTGAAGATGGTGCTGCAACTCTCAAAATACAGGCGAACCTGCATTATGCTATGTTGCACTAACTCCACTTGGTGGCATGCTATCCCTACATTCAGTAAGGACATGACAGCAAACGGTGGAAACTTTTATTCGCCATATCAGTGTGCTTAATATTAAGCATTTAATTCCCGAGCTACCAGTGGTTATTTGACTGTTAAATTTTCAGCCCCCACTCGCCCAGTTATTTCATTTCTACACTGGCGTTATGCCGTCTGCTTTGGCCACATACGCACAAAATCCAGTGGAACGGCTGAGGTCTTGTCTCAAGCTATCTGGCAAATGTATTCTGGCTGTTCATTTACCTCATTAGCTTTAATAGATCAGTAATTGAAATTCATCAGAAATTCTTGTCAGTGCACTCCCCCCTGATGTCAATGGGCTTTCAGCACCTGCTCAGGCTCCATTACTGGGGGTCCTCGCTGGGCCCTCTCATACCACAGAGTGACAGAGCATTAGTCACAGAGATAATCAACCTCAATACACTGCTTGCCACTAATGTTCTTCAAGAACTATTTACTTCATGTGGCAGTTGGTGTCTTATCAGGGTAGAAGTTCTCCACTAGATAAATGTGATGAAATTTTTATAGATCACCTTGTTGCCCAGGTGATTGATTATACTCAGAAGTGCCGAACAGCTGGGTATTGTCATATTATTAGCTGCATATTGTTTTTATTTACTTCCTGCCACTTGCTTATTAGCTGATGCCATAATGACAAGCCACGTCTTTGAAGGGTGCGTGATGCAGATTTCTATTTGCTTATGAAACTCACGAGCGTTTTATTATGCAGACAATGCAGAGAAAGCTGTGGGTTCCATAACTACTTTCTTTCCATATTGGCCATGCAGCACGCTGGTCAGATGTCAGATGCTGCAGTAAAATTTTAACATGATTGAGGAAACCTCCAGGTGAAAGTCTTTCTCAGAAAAGTGATCTCTCCGGTATGGCCATCTGGCGGGCAATCAGAGCTGAACTTCTAAGTTGTGTCTTCAATCTTTAGGGGCAATGAGGAAACAGGCCATGTGTTCAAAGTGTGACTACTGGTATGCCTTAAATTATCTGCTGTACCCACTAGTAAGGCTGTTTTTAAAATTATTTTTCTTGGCTCAGCAAACGTCTTTGGCACGTGTTGTTAGGCAGAGAATATGCTTCATTCACAGTTGCTTTAATTCTCTTGTTATTAATGAATTTAATATATCGCTGCTAAAAAGTATCACATGTAAAATTTAAAAGCTAAACCAGAGTAAAACAAAAAACGATTTTTTAAAAACAGCATTGTTTTTGCTCACTAGGAGATACCATCGTCACACCTACTGCGCCTAACGCGTATAAAGAAAGTACCTTGTTATTTTGTTGACCATAACATCATTTGTTTTCATGTGTAATAGGTGCTGGTAGTCCACATACAGAAGCAGTGTTAACCCACAAATATAGCAACTGCGGAGGTCAAGTAATGTGCATTGTTTTCCATATGCGTACCTTTATTCTGCTGTAAAATGGTTTTCCAACAGTCTGGCTGATACTAGTGTATCCTAGAATACTAAAGCTAATCCCAGCCACTAAATGCACATTTATGATACCAGCGCTTACATTTATTTGTAAAGGCAAATAAAAACGAAAACAGCGATGACATTTTTGGTATTTCTCTAATCTGAATTCACACGGTTTGGCCAAATTGACTCTTCAGATGTCTATCTTCTTTAATAATATAGCCTCTACTCTGGTTTACTCTGTATGGAGAGCCACTGCTGGCCCAGAAGCATCTTCTATCAGCCATCATGTCAGTGTGTAGCCCTCTTTGAGAAAAGAGCAGGACATAAACCGGCCCTAAAATACATCACACACACTTTAATGGGCAGAGGCTGCGGCTGGGCCTTGAAATATAGCTCTGATACCGGTCCTGTAAATGGCCGTCCTCTGCAGCATATTTCATTCCAGAGAATTAGTCCTGTTTAGCAGCCGTTGTTATATAGCAGCTGTCCTCCATAGGTCTGAGTACAGCAGAATATGGCTATTTGATTGATGATTCCCGGGACTTTTCTTAGTTTGTAATTTTATCTAACATCAATTAGCAGTCGATAGAAAACAAGGTGGAAATTCCTGCTGAAAAATTTCTCTTTTCTTCAAGTCATTGCAAATTCTGCTGCGCAGAAGTGATCTTATAGAATCAAAGGCTTAAATCAATCCAAGGCGATTAACTACAAATCAGAAAGGGTGGAATGGGGTGACTCTACTCTAATCAAGTTTACCTTTGTCTGTCTCATTAATCTAGCGATTCAAGGCCTTATAGCCTGATGTACAGGACCGTTCCTGTGGGTGTGAATATGGAGAATTGCCACAGATAAGAGATGGCACCATATTTATTCCAGAAGTACCATTAGTGGGACAGATAAAGCAGGACAAACGCGCCACTAATTGACCGCTTCTGTTCATATTTTTGAGCAATTACAGATAACACACATTTGATGATGTCATAAATCATACTAGTTTAGACTGTTTTTTTTCTAGCACAGTCGTTTAACTTGTGTCGAGAGGAAAAAAGTTGAAATGAAAAACGGGCCACTTTAGAAGAATTCTATATGTGTCTGACAAACAGTGATAACAATTTTGTGAAACAACTTAATATTTCTCTAAGCCATGCTCTTTTAAGTCAATATTTGCTGGTTTGATAGAAAAAAGAAAAAACAGACACTGTCACTTACTCGCTTTGTCAACTGGGAGAGTTCCTGAGGGCAAGCTCCTCTTTAATTACACTCTGTGACGTTTACCCCCACTAAATGCCCCTCACAAGGTTCAGGGTTTGGGGCTGTGCTTGTCATTGTGTGGGAAGTGGAAGAAGAGTTTTTTTTAAAAAAAAAGGAAACCTAATGCAGAATAAGAGATTTTCTCTTGAAGTTGTTGCTCAAATAGGGTTTGTTTGATATGTAAGCTGTGCTTTTATTAACCAATAGGTTTCTCTGACATGATTAGAGCAGAACTATTTTTTTATTTATATTAAAAAAAATATTTGCATACTTTTAATGTTCATAATACTATAACTATGGATTGTGCACACTCAAATGTTTAACTTTAGTATATCCCGAGCTCTATAGCCGCACTGGTGATGTGGGTCAGTCTGCCTGAAAGAGCTGTTCACCCTGCAAGAATTTAATTAGTCTGTGATTCAATGGAAAATAAATAAGTAATGTTTAGAGGTTCAGCGATGCTGTTGCAAAGGATAAGAAAGGAAATCTGCAGGAAACACTGAGAAATCATTGAGTCATGGCTTGGAAAACGCCAAATTAAAGATACTGAATGCTGCCATCCTAACTATCAGTGACTTCAGTGTATCGACAGAGGCCTTTCAACACCCTTATCGTTTGAACCCTATAGATGATATCAGCTATGTTTTATTACTGTTATTACTGAAGATGATGTCTTTCTCTCTCTCCCTCTTTTGCAGCTATATTAGTGAAGAGATACAGGACTTGGAGTAAAAACTGATCATGAAACAGAGCAATCCTGCCAGAAGTTAATACCAGTAGCAGGGATATTTGTACTTAATCCCCGTCAAGAGAAAAAGAAAATAAGACCTTACATTTCCCCGCAGATCTGCTATGGCTTTATTATTCCTCATTGCATTAATCAACTTGTATCTCGTCTTTTGCTTTTATTAAATGCCGTTTCTGGCTCACATCCATTCATCGGACCTTAAATATCCTCCATCTCTTGGGTCTGAGCTTGATTGTGCATAGGAAATGAAGTTGGAAACTTTGGAGCTCTATTTAACGCGCGAGTCCCTGATGCGACCCCTCCCTGCCTTAATAACTTATGAACAGGATCCTCG